GGGTGCATTGGGTCGGCTGGTGAGTCACTTGGGGGTTGCCTGGGCAGTTCCGGCGATTGAGTTTCTGGAAGTTAGAACTCAGGGGGAGTGGGAAAGTGTCGGGGAAGTGGCTTGACGCCAGAGAGGGAACATGGCATGCATGATAAAATCAAATACGCTTTATAAATTTTCGAAATATTTTGGGTTTGTTCTCGATTTTGCAAAACGTTTGTGAACAAGACGCACGATAACCACCAAAGACGATAATGGCGTGTCAAAGGAAATAGCAACCTTTTACAAAAGCTAAAAACGGACCGGATGTTTGACCTCTCTACCGGAGGGTTTCGAAATATCCAGTGCTCGGGAAGTCACCACAGGTGCGGGTGCATGTGTGATGGCCTCGGGATGAGTCGCAAGTGATTCGTCAAAGAAAGCTGCTTTGAGGCGGTCGATGGACACCGTTGTTCGGTGACCATTCTGGTCTGAAGTAAAGTGTTTCGGAGTCGGTTTCAGAACTTTGAAAGGACCAGCGTAGGGAGACTGGAGATGGCGCCGCAATGCGTCGGTGCGGAGAAAGATATTAGTGCAGGTAGAGAGTCCGCTGTGCATTTGCACATCTCTAGTCTGCTCACGGGGCGGAGTCGGGCGTAGTGAACGCATGTGTTAAGCTAATGAGGACGAAAAGTTAAGCAGAGGCATACCCAACAAAGCGGGATGTGAAACGAATTCTCCTGACAACATTAGCGCTGTGCCTTAAACCATCTCTACTGCTACACATTGCAAGTCAGCTTTGATGCTGCTGCGAATGCCTAAGAGTATGAGCGAAACGTTTTCGCTCCAGCTAGGGTCGTAGAAGGTACAGAGCGAGGCTTTAAGCAGTCTATGGAAGCATGTAACTAACCCGTTCGCTGCTGGGTGATACGCTGCAGTATAAATGTGGCGACAGCCTAAAAAGTTGCAGAAAGTATCGAATTGTGAAGATTCGAAGGGCGTTCCTCGGTCTGTTGTAATGGTGAATGGGCATCCGTAGTGCGAGACCCACGGATTTAAGAAGGCCCGGATAATAGTCTCAGCTGTGCGGTCTGTTACGGGAAGGACTTCTGGCCATCTGGTGAAGCGGTCGACACATGTAAGAATGTATACGAATCCGCGTGACGGAGGCAAAGGATCTACCAGGTCTAAGAATCCGGGGCAGGAAATGAACCAAGAGGACTGCGGGTGTGACGATGTATTTTTGAGCGCTGGCATTGAAGGCAGGCGCGAGCCCATGTACGAATATCTTTGTTTACGCGTGGCCAAACGAAATGTTCGGTGACCAGTTGCAAAGATGCACGGATACCGGGATGTGATAGTGAGTGCAATGCGTCAAAGACTATGCGTCTGAAGGGGACGGGCACTAGGGATCTAGGACAGCCGGTGAAAGTATCACAGAGAATGGTTTCTTCCGTGGTTGGGAGAGGAACAGGTTGCACAAGCAGCGAAGTGGACTGCACAGTGCGTTGTACGTCGTCATCTTGAGTCTGATCCGATGCCATGGCGGCAACGTCGATGGTGGGCAAAGACTGAAGAGGGAGGTTGACGCGCGAGAGAGCGTCGGCAACGGGATTGTCGACACCTGAGATATGACGTATGTCAGCAGTGAACTGCGTGACAAAGTCTAGGTGTCTTATTTCCCGTGGTGAATATTTGTCGCAAGCAGAGTTGAACGCTAAGATGAGGGGCTTGTGGTCAGTGTAGACCGTGAAAGCGCGGCCTTCGAGTGTATGCCGGAAGTGACGAATGGTTAGGTAAATAGCGAGCAGTTCTCTGCCAAACATGTTGTAGCGCCATTTCGCTGGCTGAAGGCGCTTGGAGAAGAACCCAAGGGGTTGCCGTTGCCCACAAACATGTTGTTGGAAGACGGCTCCTACCACGACGTCTGAGGCATCAGTCGTAATAGAAAGGGGTGCAGTCGAATCGGAATGAACGAGGAGGGCTATGTTGGAGATATCATCCTTGAGCTTGGCGAAGGCTGTCTGTGCTGTATCAAGGAAAGCGAACTTACGTTCATTCCCTCTGAGTAGGTCGGTCAGAGGCTGCATGTGCTGAGCGCAGCGCGGTATGAAGCGTCGATAGTAGTTGACCAAACCACAAAATCGACGGAGGTGCTTGAACGAAGTCGGAGCTGAGAAGTCCTTGATTGCCTAAGTCTTAGCAGGAAGGACTTCGACACGAGATGATGAGACGAGGTGGCCTAGGAATTCTACCGTTGATGTGCCAAGTTCGCACTTAGTGGGGTCGACTGTAACACCGTGTTGGGTCAAAGGCTGAAACAGAGTTCGAAGATTCTCGAGGTGCTCTTGTTCCGATGAACTGGCTACTAAAATAGCATCGAGGTGGGAATAAGCGAAGTCCAGGCCACAACAGCCATCGTGGTTGAAGCGTTGCAAGATTTGTGCGACGTTGCACAGTCAAACTTGCATTCTTAAAAATTCAAACAGGCCGAAAGGTGTGATAACGGCTGTTTTAGGTATGTCATTTTCTTCTACACGTATCTGGTGATGGGCGCGAACCAGATCGATCTTGCCGAAGACCGTCTAACCTGTGAGGCATGCGGTAAGGTCCTGCATGTGTGGAATGGGATATCTATCTGTGACGGTTAGCCGATTGAGTGCGCGGTAAGCACAGCAAGGGCGCCCGCCACCGGATTTCATGGGGACCATCTGCAGCGGCGAAGACCAAGGGCTGTCGAAAAGGCGGATTATTTCAAGTTCAAGCATGTGCTCAAACTCCGCCCTCGCTACCTTTAGTTTCTCGGGCGATAGTCGACGTGGACGGCATGAGACGGGTGGGCATTCGTACGTATGTGGTGTGTGACTTGATCTGCCACGGGCAAAGTTGCGTTCATTGGCTGAACGAGCTTGGAATACTGAGAAAAGAGGTTGGCGCAGTCTGGAGAGGTGTGCAGAAAGGCGTAGGCCGGAGTTATAGATGCGATATCGGTGCTGATGCCACATACACTGTTTCGTTGCAGTGTCGACTATCATCTGGCGTTTCGCATCGACCAAGAGGTCGAAATGCCTGAGAAAGTCAATGCCCGAGGATGGAAAAAGGGACTGCAGAACATGCGCCGAAGACCTAGGTTCAGGGTAAGCGACGGATGACCGTAGGTGGCTATTGGCGTGCCATTGGCGGCACTTAGGCTTGTCGACAAAGAAGCGAGAGGTTCACCTAATATGGGGGGAATGACTCTGACTTCCGCCCCGGTATCAACTAAGAACTGGGTTTCGGAATCATAATCCATAATGTAAATGAGACGACTTTGGGCTTTGCCGACACCGTTAGTCGTCATTACGGGCCGGCCTGGCAAACCATCTGTAGCGGTGTAGCTACATGGCTGTACGCACTTACGGGGTTTATTACCGAAACGCGAGTGGTAAAAGCAGTAACCTGGGGCATCGGGTTTTGTTCGACGGGGCGATGATCCAGACAGGCTGCGGTGCTTACGGGTTAAAGTGAGTTCCTCGATATGTTCACCTCCCTATAATAGCGACACCGCTAGGGAGAACAACAACACCACAGCGCAATTGCATGTTAAGCGTAGACCGGACAAGCAAAGGAAGTAGTCGACTCGAAAAATCAAACTCAACATGCAGGGCAAAATTCCGCACCCGTCGGCTAAATGTACAACGGAATAACAATTTTAGTTAAAATTGTGCACAGACAAACCCGGTAATCTCCATACTGTTACAACATGGCTCCTGTGGTTTATCATATCTGTAATGCTCGATCCAGATGAGGGATAAGTAAAGTATAGCCCGGCCGGATGTCATGAAACTAAAGAAAGCAGGACGGAAAGACAAATGATTTCAAAAGGAACCGATAAAGACAGGGCCATTTGTACATTCAAACTCCCAATCTGTAGGACTAGTTAATACTAGTCCGAGACGGTGCGCGAAATTAAGCGCGGATATCAGAAGGCGATTGGAGTCGGGCACAGCGGACTGTATTTGATGGGCTAGAAGAAGACGCGGACGGATGAAGCGAGACATGAGCGAACACGTGAGCGCGAGAACTTACAAGGCGGCCGAGTGTCGAGCCGGTTGTAAGGAAGATTAAAACGAGAAGGAATAATGTACAATCGGTCAACAATTAAATTGTACATGAAAGATAGCAGTTGTCTTTTTGGGCGCTACAAATCTAAATGCAGGTGTTTATCAATAAGCTAGTCAATCTGCACCGGTGTGAAGCAGTCTGAATCAGGCTCTTTAATCAATTTTTACTAGAACGAACTGATTCTATCCTATCTAGGGGCAGTTAGGAGAGGTATGGTACCACAGTGAATGTGATTATCAAACAGAGTACAAGTGATCTAGCATCTTCCGGTTATGGGTTTTATCGGCATCCTGATGCGTTACTGACATTTCACTTCAACAAATGAATACCATTATTGTCCAAGCTGTTGCTTTAAGTCAGTCAACCCAAGTCGTGCTTGTGCTCATGCACCTACGTAGAGTGCATATTCACTAAATTTATTAAGCAAATACGGAGCTTAATTTCGTCATTGTGCAACCTCCGTACCACTTTTCCATGAGGTAAAAAATTCAAATTTAAAATTAATTTCATTAGAAAATTAGTATATCGGGCTTGGAAGAGACAGTAGCGCACAGAAAAGTGGTCCTGGATTTAGCAACAAAGCAGTCCCCGAACTATAGCAAAACTAAGCTAACCCATAGGAACTAATAATGACAGTCTTGAAGCTGTAAATGATGTTGTTTGATTTGTTCCTCATGGGTTCGGGTAGGAGAAAGTGCACGACTACTTGGAACAGATGGTCAGACATAAAAAATTTTACTTTAAAGGATCAGTGTCGACAAGATAAACCTTAACAATTATAAAATTAATAATATTTGGGGAAGCAATAGGATTTAAGCACCATTCAGTAAGTTTTATTCACTCTTTCGATGTACGCGAGGTGCTAATGATTTGAAGCAGCCCACAGTTTTTCAACTCACCGGTATTATTGTTTTCATTTTGTACAGGTCGCAATAATATTCCTATCGCTGCTGTCTCTATTTTCTGGAAGGCGTAGAAAGAAGAAAAATGCCAACGACAACTATCCATACGTGAAAGTGCCCACATGAGAAATCCCAATGTGTGGACCAACCATATCCTATGGAATGAACAAAAGCATGGCTCCTATTGTTCTTTTAATGTGTGGTAACGTATAAATCACTTATTAATATATAATGACATTTGCAAGCTGATATTGTACAATACCAACTACGAAAACTAAAGTGAATTTTGTACCATGGCGAAACGCTTTGCATTCAAAACAGGCAGGGATAAATAAAGTTGTAACATAGGCAAACACTACTGTACCTTAATAACGTATGCAGGACACACAGCTTTAATAGTAAGAAACGTAGTAACAGTGGTTTTACTTGGAATATTTAATAGAGGTTAATTTGATCAACTATGGTCCACCCAAAAATCTCGTAACTAGAAGAAAAGGATCAAGCAGCATAAGGAAAATGCCGAAAATTATATAGAAAGGCAGAAATGTCCTGAACATCCAACTAAAATGGCCAGAAAAATACTACACTTGTCGGATGGTTGGGGTTAGAGGCAAATAAGTGTATAAAATATAAGGCTGTGTTAATTTTTACAATGTATCCGACTGCTAATAGGGCCAATTTCGATGACAATACACCGTGAGCATATAAGACACACATGCAGTAACATTGCTTGCAGTATGGCTATGTAGGCCACACTATAGAACGACGAACTAACATCTCTTATACTTTTATGTGATCGACACTTTTACAGTATGCACTTACGAGCCGATATCTGCAGGCGTTACGAGACCCGAAGGACAATGAATTAGTTGTGTTTAAGCCGGAAAAAATCAAAGGAACAGTATTCATGCAAAAAGGACTACGTTCAGGGAATGTTAGGCATAATGAGCAACGAAAGCAGATTTTATTGAATCGATCGACAGAAGAGCCTGTCAGATGTAGAAGCTCGCATTATTTGCCACTTAGAATTGCCTCTCTTAAACAACATCCTCGAGCACGAGACATAGGAGACCCATCATCCGAATGGGTCATAGATGTAACAGCTTTAAGAGTTGGCGAAGTCAAACAAGGAAGGGATGTCACTCAGATCAATTTTATCAGTGGGGAATCCCCGGTAACATAAATTGATGCGCTGGTTAGCATAGATCTTAACCCCACTCAGACAGCATTTCACTCTACACAGCCTTAAGGATTCCTTCGGACTAATTGAAGAACATGATTAAATAATCTTACGTGCAAGATCATGTGCGTTTTTGACGTTCAATCAATCTTTACTAATGTTCCATCTATCCACGCAGTCTTTTACATACGTCGGTTGATGGATGTCGAAAACGTCATGTGCAACTGCTGACAGATTTTTTCAAATAGTATCTACTGCTCCGCATAGTAAACGTCGGATTCTGTTTTCAACAAACGCCAAACCGGGAAACCGACTGAGTATTTATCGACAGTACTTAAGGCCTCTACTAGACGTTTTTCTGTAAAATGCCAGAAAGGAGTTTAAGTGAAGGGATCCCACAAATGATTCAACTCAAGTAGAATGCCCATTTGATACGTCAAGTTCCGAAAGATAAACAAAACATGAAGCTTTAAGCAAACAATTGTTTTCGATTAATTCTTCATCAGGCTCATACAATAATATACATTAGATCAACGTCTGTTGCAATCGTCAGTGTAACAAAGACACAATTGATCAGAAAATTTAACTTGTGATAATGATGGCATTCATCTGATTACATGACTGAAGTCAGATGAATTTGCGGAGTACCGTTACTTCCTTCGTGGCTGGTGGTCGGCCTGGAAAGTTGTAGTGTTTGTATTAGCTTCTTCTGAATACACAAGTCCGGATTTGTTAGGCGTATGCATACTGTCTCAGCGGTAGCGAGTATGCTAGCCCTTAGACGATGGTTTTGTCTTGATGGTATTTTGTAGAGAATTTGAAAGGATGTTCGTTTGTCTATCTGGTGGCCTGTGTTTATTAGATCGTTTGTAATCGCACTGCAGCTTGTCCTATTCTCGCACTTGTAGAACCAACCTGGGAAGTGTTCCTTAATTCTCTTACCTAGATGCCTAGTCGTCCGTCTAACGTACCTGGCCCCTCACGGGCAGGTGAACCGGTAGATTAACATTGATTGGAGCTGATCAGGCACTCGGTCTTTGAATCTCGGAACTAGTAAAGGTCTGCTCGTGGAAATCACATTCAGTTGAGATGCATTAAAGGTCTTTTTAAAGCTTTGCTGTAGTCGACGTGTGCATGTCTCAGCCGCACTATTTCCTTTGAATGGTAGTGTCAAGTAAAGCTGTTTCTGTTTCTTCTGATAAGACACCCCAATGCCGCATTTACAGCTGAGAAAGAAAACAACAACCAAATGAGTTTTTTGGACGCAAGTCTTATCAGAAGAACCGATGGATCAATCCAAATAAAAGTATACATGAAACCATGTTGGACGGGACAATACATGAACTTTCATAGTTTCGCCCCACTCAGCCAAAACGGAACGTTGGTAGGAACGGTAACCGATCGGGCATTTAAAATCTGCAGCGAAGATACCATAAAAGCCGAGCTCATACGAATCAAAGAAGCGCTTCTCGAAAATGGATACACGGAGTGATTTATCTAGACCCATATGAAGCGATGCATACCAAATTATCAAAACAAACCGTTGAAAAGAAATAGCTTTACTTGACACTTCCACTCGAAGGAAATAGTGCGGCTGAGATATGCACACGTAGACTACAGCAAAGCTGCAAAAAGACCTATAATGCATCTCAACTGAATGTGATTTCCACGAGCAGACCTTTACTAGTTCCGAGATTCAAAGACCGAGTGCCTGATCAGCTCCAATCGATGTTAATCTACCGGTTCACCTGCCCGTGCGGGGCCAGGTACGTTAGACGGACGACCAGGCATCTAGGTAAGAGAATTAAGGAACACTTCCCAGGTTGGTTCTACAAGTGCGAGAATAGGACAAGCTGCAGTGCGATTACAAACGATCTAATAAACACAGGCCACCAGATAGACAAACGAACATCCTTTCAAATTCTCTACAAAATACCATCAAGACAAAACCATCGTCTAAGAGCTAGCATACTCGCTACCGCTGAGACAGTATGCATACGCCTAACAAATCCGGACTTGTGTATTCAGAAGAAGCTAATACAAACACTACAACTTTCCAGGCCGACCACCAGCCACGAAGGAAGTAACGGTACTCCGCAAATTCATCTGACTTCAGTCATGTAATCAGATGAATGCCATCATTATCACAAGTTAAATTTTCTGATCAATTGTGTCTTTGTTACACTGACGATTGCAACAGACGTTGATCTAATGTATATTATTGTATGAGCCTGATGAAGAATTAATCGAAAACAATTGTTTGCTTAAAGCTTCGTGTTTTGTTTATCTTTCAAAAATCCCACAAATGCCTTGCTACCAACGGTATGTCGATACGATTACCGAGTTCGGCTCTTCGAATATTAAACTTAAGCGCTTGGTTCGCCAGCTGAAGAGCGTCCGTGTCAACATGAATTTTACCTATAACTTCAAGACGAATGACCCCTTGCCGTAGCTAGATATTATCATCAGTCGAAAGGATACCGAGCTTCTTAAGCAAGCTGTGTATTGGAAGCTGACATTGTATACTTACTGATCACTGGTTGGAAGTAGTAAGAAGAAATGTCTCGGAGTAGCTGCATCTAATATCACTCAGGTGCAAAGGCCCGTTATGCTGGAATGTGCTCGATATATTTAAATCGGCAAAGCGCTTGTCCAGGAATTTCTTACACCCCGACACCGACTTTGCCTCAACTACGTGCTGCGGCAGGTCGTCTCTTACGTTCAACTATCTGCGTTTGAAACAGAGTTGGTGGGCGACCCACTTCAAATCCGGTACTACAAGCTTGTACCGGTGTCCTCATGTGCTGCTTGGTGTGCGCAGATGCAGCAGCGGTCTCAACATGGAGTATTCATTGAGATTTGATATCCGGTGTGTCTGGTCAATACTTGCACCGTTGGATCACTCTCATGAACTGGCGCCCTTTATTTACTCGCACTATACGTATTTGCTTCAGCAATTTTCTGCCTGAAGTGGTAGAGACTATTAACCAAATGAGCATGAAAAACGGCAGTTTAAGATGATTCATCGAGAAATGAAGTGAAGTCAGACCGCCAAAAGAAACGGTGTTGACAACATCCGAGCAAAAGATGTACCTTGACCTGCCATTTAAGGGTAACACTGTTACAACCAAGCGCTAAATCTCTGCCATTTAGAGGACCTACTGTGCTGCTCATGCAGTGATAATGCAAATAATCCAGAAACTCCCTACTCTCAGTAAAGTAAGAGAAATCCACCGGCGTCAAGCCACACTGTGTTCACCAATTTGCGTTTACCTGCGATGTCGGTTACAGAGGCATTACTGACAGTATTTTGAACACAAGAGTGAAGGAGCACCTGCCCAACTGGGTTCAGGGTGATGTCAGCAAGCCCTCGCCCAATATTCCTTGTTCACTTAAGCCTCAGGCATTATTAACAAGCAAGCAAATTTTTGTGAATCACCATAAAAATTTACTCCGGCTCTACGCTTCGGATTTTATTAGGGCATCCCAATTCGCGTTTCGCTGTTAACCGTGGCCGTGACGATAAGCCAGTTGAGACCACTTCTGTGTGTGGAAAAGAATCAGTTTTTGACCTCCGGTTGTTCTGGTCCTAGAAACATCGCTGCCGGTCATCTCAGCACCTTTGATTGGTTTGGTAACATTTCTTGAATGTTGTATACATCATTTATGATGAGACATTAAGCAATGCATGTATCTACCAGTGTTTTCAGTCTTTTATTCAAACTACTAAAGGGAACTAGCTGTTTCAACTTTTAAAGACGGCGAGTTGCTCACTGATACATGCAGTAGTATCTTCACTAATTGGACCAAGTGAGGTAACAAACCCTCTGAATGACTGACTGCTCTCTAAAAATAGTGAGAACGGGTAACAAGGTTTAAAAACTCCACAACAGCACAGTATACTACAAATGCATAAAAGTTCTGAAGCCCTCCGCAGTGTTCCACCTTAGCTCATCCAGCAGTAGCTATTAGTAGCTGGGAACCAGTAAACCATTTAGAGCGTATACAATAAGTGGATCATTTGTTCACCGAACAAAGCTCACATTGCAGAGGAAATAGGCACTGGAATGTCATTCATACTTCTCTCGACTGCAACGGAAATATATGGATAAATGATTGTTTATGGCGCGTACTACTTGTCACTGTTTACTCTGTTG